AATAAAATCAAATAAAGATAGAAAAAACAAGACTAAGATCTTTAAATAATTACCAAATTCCTCTTAGCAGTTCCCATGGACACTAAACTACGTGTGCAACGAGATAAAAATAGAAGTAAGATAAATTCTCTTTGAAAAGAGTTCTAACTTGGAAGTCAATCCTTTGTCCTTATAGTAATTATTTGTTATGTCTAGATTCGGGTTTAAGTTCTTTCATAAATCAAATCATAGAGTTCATGCCCGCTTGAGAAATACTCGTATCTGATTTAATACTTATTAGTTTAACCGCTACAAACAACTCAGAATGCGACATGCCTTTAATGAAGAAAGATAGAACATGCGGTAAAGGTGAACTAGCAATTTTAATGATAATCATATTAAAAAATTTCAATTTTAAATATAATTATGTTGAAATTCTAGCGAACGCAAAAAATACTTGGTGATTTTTTAGTGTGTGAGTGCACGATTTACAGCTTCAATGGATCCCAGTATTTTCGACCTGAAAGATATATATGTGAAAATTTCTAAATTTTAATAAATATTAAAATCCACCCATAAATTTCAATAAGTTGAATTCTAAGAACCTTAAATTGAAACCATCAAGTTAAATTACGTATCCATCTCTAAAACCTTGGTAGATAAGTTTATTGATACTTTTGGTGGTGGGAGGCAAAAAATACCAACCAAAAAAATAATCGGAGATGCACTATTGCAAGCTGACCCGAACTCTACCCCGAGCAATTATGAAAGGTGTTCAAAATGTAATATTATGTGAAAACTTACCATGTGTGTTCTTATTTAACACGTTCCTCCTTTACAACATGATATAGGTAGAGCCCAACTCCTCTGGCTCCTTCTTAACTGTATGGTCAAAATTATTTGTGGGTTTCATCTCAATGACCTAATAGGATTAAAAAAATAATTCCTTAAAATTTTGGATGAACTATTTCGATGTCTACTATGAATTTGCCACTTTAATTTTCCTGAATCTTTTTAAGCTTTCAATAATAAGAATAACAATTTTTTTCTTATAAACAAGTTTCATTGGCTATTACTCATGGCTCTGGAAATATATTGTAAGAAAAGGACTAAGGACTTAAGGAGTTAGTTCCCCAAGCAATATTTAAGTTGGTATAATTTATAATTTAGGATTTATTTCATTTTTAAAACAATAAAAAGGAATATATAAAATTATTTATGATGTCTATATATAACTTTAAAAAAAATTATTCTTACCCTAGTTGCATAGTATAATTTTTCACCTTGGCTCGTTGTCTTTATCTTGGATTGGATTTATAACACTAACGAGCGAAATGGATGAAACTAGGTGATTCTAACTCCAAGTATTTCACAGCAGTGATCAAGGAAATACAGCATAAAAATCAAATAGTTGAATTGAATTTTCTTAAAGGAGAAATTATAAGCTTCTACAAGGGATTAATGGGAACAGCTGCTCATAGACTACCAGCAATTGGCAAGAAGATAATGGAAAAAGGTCCCATTCTGTCACAACAACAGAGAATCTTCTTGTGTAGGGATGTCACTGAGCAAGAAATCTATCAGACTTACGCTCTATTGGTGATGATAAAGCCCCTGGTGTTGATGGATTTAATGCATATTTTTTCAAAAAAAACATAGAGTATTATCAAGAATGAAGTCACTGAAGCTGTTGCAGAATTCTTTGCCACAAGGAGCATATACAAAGCTATTAACTGTACAGCCATCGCTCGCTCTAGTGCCCAAGACCTCCAAGCCTAAGACAATAAAATAGTTCAGGCTAATTGCATGTTGCACAGTCCTCTATAAGCTCATCTCCAAGATTCTAGCTTCAAGACTCCAGGCTGTTATCTCCAGTGTTATCAATGACTCACAGGCTGGATTCATCCCAGGAAGAAAGATTGCAGACAATGTCATCCTTGCACATGAATTGGTCAAAGCCTATACATACCTCTCCCAGATGCATGATTAAGATTGATCTTCAGAAGGCTTATGGTTCTGTTGAGTGGCCTTATTAAAAGCAAGGTAGGGAGGAGCTGGGATTCCCTCAATTATTCTCTTCTTGCGTTATGGAATGCATACAGACTGTGAATTACTCTATTGTAATCAATGGTGAATACTCAAGACCTTTTAATGCTGCTAAGGGACTCAGACAGGGTGATCCAATTTGCAGTGGTAATAGAGTATCTGAGCAGAAGCTTACAGGATCTCAAGACAAACAAGGAGTTCAAATATCATTCTAGATGCTCTAAACTAGGAATAACACACCTATGTTTTGCTAATGAGCTTATCGCTCTTTGCTAGAGTTGATGCAGTATCAGTGAAGGCAATCTATCAGAAATTTACACAGTTCACTACAGTATCTGGATTGCAAGCAAATCAGAACAAAAGTGCAGTAAAAATAACAGAACAACAAAAGATTCTACTTCAATTAGGCTTCGGTGGTGGTGATCTTCCTTTCAAATATGTTGGAGTTCCCTTGTCTACAATGAAGATGAGTATCATGCAGCAGTGGTAGGCCCTAATAGATAAAATGAAAACAAGAATTTCATCATGGACTGCACGCAAACTCTCTTATGCTGGAAGGATTCAACTAGTTCAAAGTGTGCTCTTTGGGATACAAGCTTTCTGGGGACAATTATTTAGCATTCCTACTAAGGTGATTGAAAGCATATGTCGATCCTATATTTGATCATCAGGAGCTAATGTGGTCACAAGAAAGGGTCTCTTAAAGCAGGAGGGGGACTAAATCTCACTAATATGCATCTTTGGAACAAGGCAGCGATAGCCAAGACATGCTGGGACCTAGCTCACAAACAAGATAAACTGTGGATTTATACATATTATATTAAAGGCCAACAGTTTTCTAGTGCACCAATACCCCAAGAAGCATGTTGGATAGTGAGAAAAATATTTGAAGCTAGAGGAAACATCGAGAATGTGCAGTGGAAACAAAATGCAAAGAAGAGTCTGATAAGGCAGATTTAGTTTAACCTGCTCGGTGCCTACCCAAGAGTTGAATGAAAGAGTCTTATGTCCAAAAATGCAGTGTGCCCAAAAGCAAAGTTTATAATGTGGTTGATGATGATGTTTTAACTGATGATAGACTGAGTAGGGATGAATGTCAACGCACAAATGTACATTGTGCCAGATATAAGAGGAGACACGACACCACTTACTTGTGCAATGTGAATATACAAGGAGAATCTAGCACAAATTATGGCAATGGATAGGGATACAGGAGGTGAACACCATGAACTGGGATGACTTAGCCGATGGACCATCAAATGTGCTAAAGGGAAATCTCAACAGGCTCAAATCTTTAAATTGGTGTATGCAGAGATGAGTTACCATATATGGATTGAGAGGAATATTAGGATATTTTAACACAAAACCAAGTGCTGGGAGGACATTGCCAAAGAGATAGCCTATATCTGCTGTGCACGACCCTCTTTTGGGATTGTCCATAAACTTAGGAATTGTCTGTTTTGAAACATCCTTGTAGTTGAGTAGATAGTATGTTGTGTAGAAAAGTTCTTTTGTTTCCAGTTTTAGATAGCTAGATTTGTTGGCTTAGCTATGGCTTTGTAAATACTTTACATTGGTGATTAGTTCTATTGTGTTTTTCCTTTTCACGGGACTTCTGCATATGTAGGCCATAGTTTTGCTTTTTCTTCATTATTCTCTTTATTATGTTTGAAAGGAAGCCTTGCAGCAAGGTAAAGTTCTCTTCGTGTGACTTATAAGTTAGGGGGTTCGAGCCGAAGCAGTCACTAATTGCATTAGAGTAAACTGTGTACATTATACCCCTTTGGTGTGGCCCTTCCCCGAATCGTGTGTGAGCGCGTAATACCTTGTCCACCGGGCTATCCTGCCCTCTTTATTTTGTTTACTGCATTGTTAACTTAATGTAATTGTCGAAACATATAAACGATTACCTAAGTCCTAAACACGTAAAAGATTGTAAACATATCAATGATACACCATCATCATCATAAATTATACTTCATAGAATTTCCTAGCTAGTAAAAAGATGTTTGAATCTCTTGAAAAGTACAAACTCATATCTAGGGGCTAGAGCTTCAGTCTAGTGGTAAGAGTATAGCATGTGATACGTGGATTAAGCACATGTAACAGATTGGTATTCTATCATAGACAAAAATTTAATATTTAAGTGGAGAAGCGTCAAAGCGCGATCACGTTATCTATTGAGTTTCCCCCGAGGATTTCTCGATAAAAACTTAGTTCTAAGTTGTCTTTATTTTTTTATGTCTCATCCGGTGTCCAATACTCATTTTAATACTTTAATAAATCCTTCGTTTGAATGAACTAAGGATTCACATACCATTACAAATTATATCATGATTTCCTGGTATTAGATATTCGAAAATTTCAAATATTACAATTTTATCCAATATAAAATTATCTTTTGGAAGGAATAATGTTTTTAAAGGATTTTGAAGTCGATCAACATTTTGGGAATATTCTCATCGATAACATTTAGTGTTTTGACATTCATACCGACTTAATTGTGAGCATACTCGACTGATTTAATTGTTTAAACAATTGAACGTAAGATGATTAGATATTGTTTCGGAACCTAAAATTATTTATGTAAATACGAGTGTCATACCAAATATTCAACTTGACAGTTTTCTTGCTTTTTATATTTCAACAACATATTGTTTACATGAGAATATGAGCAAAGTTGGCTATTTTTGTAAATACTTGGTGTAGTTGTTTTTGCCTTTTCTTTATAAAATTGTATCCTTCTTCCCTTTACATCCGCATACATATAAAGAAGTTGTTGCCGAATGAAAGTAGTATTTTATGGAAGATGTACGGAAATTCGATCAGCATAAGTCTTCCTTAGGGTGGCTAGTATATCATTGTCAATTTCATGGTGTAAAGCTGCAAAAAAAGTACCCCGTAGTTATTCATAATAGAGATACTTAGTAGCTACTGGTACATCAAAAAGTTTTATTCATTTCATAGTTGGCACATACATGAACCACTTGTCTTATTCAAAATTATGACTCCTTTTTAGCAAAAGAATTAATTATATAAATATAACACATAAAAAAAATAACTAATTAGATTACATGATACCGAATTAAATTCGCTCGTTAAATCCGAGATGAAGACAATCAACCTGTTAGTGCGGAGCTATGTAGAGCCAACGAGTAAAATTACAATGTGAAAATAAGTAAAAGAGAATTTTTTCGGTTATATATAAGTTGTTGAATTCCTACTATATACCTTTTATTATGCTAAAAATAGAAACAAATCCTAAATTTTATAGTATACTAGTCCGAGCATGGTTGCAAAGAAGAGAGCAGCACCATTAATTGTGGGAGCTGTTGCGCTACTCGCGGCTTGTGCAGGAGGAGGTGGAGGTGAAGGTGAAGGAGCGTCGGTCGTGTTGGCATTGGACGTGGAGTTGGAGGTAGAACCGCCGTCATCCTTGGCAATATCAGCTACAGGAGGTAGTGGTGGAGTGACAAAGTTCTTAGTCTCAAAGTGCACGAGCGGAGGCGGCTTGTACTCTGCTACTTCTTTTGGATCAAGCATAACTGCTATCACATCCCCTGGATTTAAGTCTTGTATCTTATACGCGTCCGGATTACCAGTGCACAAGTTTCCTGTTGCAACCAACATATAAAATGACTCAATTGTGTACCCGACCTGGTGCATAATCTCACATTCAAACAGGGTTCAGGACCGCACTCCTAAGGATGTGATGTAGACAGTCTAACCTAATGCATGCAATTAGATATGAGCATTGATTACTTAGTGGATTTCCAGTGCACAAGTTTCCTGTTGCAATATATATATATATATATATATATATATATATATATATATATATATATATATATATATATATAAATGGCAGCAGGGTGCACTAAGCTCTCGCTATGCGCGGGGTCCGGGGAAGGGCCGATCACAAGGGTTTATTGTACGCAACCTTACCCTGCATTTCTGCAAGAGGCTGTTTCCACCCGTGATCTCCTGGTCACATGACAGCAACTTTATCAGTTTCGCCAAGGCTCCCCTCCACAATTGTGTAATAAGGTACCCTACCTGATTTATTTTTGTATTAAAGGACAGGCCAGGTGCACAAAGCGTCCCGCATGCACGCAAGGTCCAAGGAAAGACCGCACCCCTAGGGGTATGATGTAGACAGTCTATCCTAATGTAGGCAATTAGATAATTTAATCAGCTGGCGATCTGAGCATTGATTACTTACTGCTGTATGCACTTGCAGTGCTTGGATACTGAGTGACAATTCCATCCGCGCCATAGTTAATAAGGTTATGAATCAGAAGATAAGGATCAGAGCCAAAATCCATGAAAATATCTTGGAATTCATTTAGAACATTTGCAGCGTAGACGCTGACATTAGCCCAATGCAAACAAGAAATAAGGTTGGTGAGGTTGAAAGTGAGACCCTCCTGGCGAAATTCTGAATATATTGAATGCTTGTGTAAAAGTACTGCGTCCGCGTACTTTTTGACTTCCAATGCTGTCTCGTTCGTTACAAATCCCACTTGTTCCTTAATGTGAAGTACTCTTTGGTAAGTCGGGATAGCTTTGAATTTGTCCAGCACTGAACTTTCACTTGACATGATCAGAACTTTCTGAGTCGAGTTCTTATCAAGTGTCGCATTGCTCAAAGCAGTTGTGACGGTGCCAACAATGTCAAGACCTTTGTTTGATGCAAGATATGCAGCATTCTTGAAGACAAACCAAGTTCTTGATATTAATATCACTCAAATTCTTGATATATGCGTAGACAAACACATGAACAAAATAATATCTAGAGTAGAAAACAAACTTACTTCAATGTTGATCAGAACACCAGGAACTGCTTTTGCCTTGGCGAATTCCAAGAAATCTGAGAGCGTTACAAACTTGCCCACATTTTTGCGCGCTGGATCCCTTGCCAATTCACCATTAAATCCACCGGACATTTGAGCTGCAACGGATCATATATACATACATATATTTCAGAAAATGAAACTCAAGCTAGAATTAATACTACAGCCAAACCTCTCTATAACAGTCATCCTCTATAACAACACTTCACTATAACGGTAAAGTTTTCTTTGTAACCAATTTTTCATGTTATGTTATAATAGTATGTTTTCTATAACATCGCTTCACTCTAACAGCCAAAAAATGTCAGAACAAAGGAAGCTGTTATAGAGAGGATTAACTATATTTGAAAAATTATTGTGTTGAGAGAGGTCGGTTGGTCGCGCTCACGTTTTAATGACTGAATTTCCTCCCATGTAAGGTCGAAAGAGAAAATTCCCATGGCAGATTGAATGGGGTCGACCTTAGCTGCTCGACTCATGAAAGGTCCCGCTGCTGTAGTGGATGGCGTGAGATCAATTGAAGGCAAACAAAGCGCGACACCATCTTTTGTCATTTGAACAGAACAATCGATTATGTCAACACCATCATCTACTGCTTTCTGATAGGCAAGATCTGTGGCTCCTGGATAATCTCCATTTGCTCCATTTGAAGAAATGATCAGAGCTGCCAATTTAAAATGCACAAAAAAAATTGAGCTGCCAATTTGAAATGATCAGAGTTGCAATAAACAAAATTAAAAAAAAAACTCTTTGACTCTCAAAATCCGAACTGCATCACATAAATTGGGATAAAGGGAGTAGTTTTTTCAAGTAGGAAATTGACAGAGAGATTCATTTTCCTTACTAGGGACTTTCCTGGAAGCGTTCCGAGTTCCTGCCAAGCAAGCTGCAGTCCAGAAAGAGCAACTGTGAGCTACATGAATTGAATGTAATAGACTTATATTTCCTCTTAAATCCTAAGAACAATATTCTCACCAATTGCCATCGATGCAGACATAGTGAAATCCGTGATCACACCATCAACAGCAAACAACGAGTTGTCAACGAATTGCAGATACTCTCTTTGTGGATCATAGGTATAATTGTAAGGCAAATAGTTGTCATTTGCAAATCCATATGAGAAAACTTCAAGGCCTAGTTTATGAGCATCGGCGACTAGATTAGTACTGGGCTCTAAATAGCGAGCTTTACTGACGGGCCATATGTATTCTCTAGGCACAACAATCCCCGCAGCAAAAGTCTTGATCATAGAGAGCTTTGTTAATAGTGAAGCATATGTTTCATTTGTTGTAGGTTCAACTGCATTTGTATCAGCAGGAAACTTGAACATCAACTTTGTTCTTAAACCGCGCACGACTGCTCCCATGCTCTTCAAGAAACCGATCTCTGGAGATGATATGTAAGAGATATCCTTCTTTATCTCCAAAAGTTGTTTAATATGATCCAATAAACTCAACTTGTGTTGGCTGTAGAATGTTGCGTACTAAACAATTCGATGAGAAAAAATTAAGTTATTTCACCGATAATATGAATTTACATTTTATCAAATATTACAACGATGTACGAAAAAAGGCGAGTGATAGAACCTCGGCATTGATCCACACTAGAGACTTCATGTTATCTTCTAAAAATAAGTCTGTTGGAGTTGGTGGTGAAAAATCAAATAAATCTGTTCTGCTGAATATTGATTGTGTCACTGGAGATCAATAAGCCAACCATAAGAACAAAAATCAGCTACAAATATGCAGAGTCTAATAATGCAAGTCTTAATCACTAACTTTTACTTTGAATCTTATATCAGGGCTGTTGGATGAACTAGAAAAAAACAGCATGATTTTTTATTTGTTGCCTGGCGAAATTCCAATGAATCTACAGTCAGACCTCTCTGTAATAATCATTTTTTATAACAGCTTTCATTATAAAGGCTAAGTTTTCTTTGGAACGGATTTTTCATGTTATGTTATATACTTATATTATATATCTGTACAACAACATTTCACTATAGCAGCCAAGAACTTTCCGGACTAACAATGCCATTATAGACAGGTTTGACCAGAGGCGGATCTAGGATTTGAAGGTGGCGGGGCACATGAGCGGACTGCTACCCTGTCGGACTTTTGACCTTAAGAGTTCCAGACAAAATATATAATCGTTTTCAACGTATATGCGCATATATATCCGCCTCTGAGTTAACGGGGTCCTGTGACCCCTCTTATCTGTACCGGCCTCTGGGTTTGACTGTATTACATATTAAAATAACTGTATGGCCATTTAATTTAGGTAACAAACAAGTCCATAAGTTGTGACATACCTTGCAATTTACTATAAAGCTCATCAGCTATAAAATCCAATGCAAACCATCCTTGAATTTCTTTGCCATTAACAATGTAAGTTTTTCGACGATTCGGAAAAGCATCAGCTGCATTTGTTGTATTCTGAATGTTTAACTGTGACAAACAAAAGCCCAGTCCGTCGCGACTCATATGGAGATCACATAACAAGACAGTACCGCGCTTTCCTAATGCATTTGCTTGAGAAAATGCAGTATCTGTTTGCGCGGGAAGAAGTCCCGAATATCCCCCATTCGCGACGACTACTGGCTCATCACCTGCAGAGACAGATTCAGGATTTTAATTCTATAGGTTCATGACTCGGGTTCCCAATAATAAAATAAGTATAGTAGTTTATTTACCATGTAATGTTAACCATGTTCTCTTAGGAAGAGGAGGAGAAATAGGCTTTCCACCTTTTGGTTGAGCTAAAGTGCAATGGATTAGCAAGGAAACTAATAAGATATGTCGAATCATTTTCTTCAAATCCTGTTTCCACCCAAAATATAAATGTTTAACCAAATTTGAACCAATAAGCATCATCTTTAATTAGAACAAAAACACACACACACAACAACAACAACAACAAAAAACCTTTTACTATATGTCTAAATTTTATATGTTTGAAATCCATCTCAAAATTATATAGAAAAAATGTCACTAGGGTGCACAAAACGTCTCGTGTTCATGCAGGTTCCAAGGAAGGCCGCACCTTGAAGAAGGTGTGACGTAGGCAGCCTACCATGATGCAAGCATCATTGGCTGATTCTACGGCTCGAACCCGTGACCTATAGGTCACACAGAGAAAACGGTCGTCCGGGCCGCACTCCCGGAGGTGCAATGTAGGCAGCCTACCTTGATGCAAGCATCAATGACTGATTCCATGGTTCGAACCCGAGACCTATAGGTCATACAGAGACAACTTGAACGTTGCTCCGAGGCTCCCCTTCCTCAAAATAATATAAAACAGAAAATATTCATCATAAATGTTAAATGTGAAAAGATATATATGTAATGACATGCATAAATTACATAAATGTAAATGTGAGAAGATGTACATGCAATGACATATATAACATCAAGAATAAGAAGAAAGGAAGAAATCTAATAATACTCACTTGAATCTTGAGATCAGAAAAGGAAGAAAGAAGTATTCCCCCTTGAGTTTCAGAAAGAAAAAATAAATAAATATAAAAAGAAAAAAAAAAAGGAAAAGAAAATATGAGGTAAGAAACTCTCAAGGGAATGAAGAAATGCAAGAAATGAGGAATGGAGAGTTTGAAAGAAAATAGAGAGAATATTAGAGGGTTTTAATTAATTTTTTCCCTCGCAAATCTCGGATTAATATCTGGTTCTTATTATTTTATTTTTTCTCTTCAATTTATTTTACTATTTTTGTTCCTTTCTTTTAGCTTTTCAGTTGAGTTTATTTACCTAATTTGTTTTCTTTTCATATCTCCATACATTTGTTTGCACCTAAAAGATTACTCTCATTTGTTTGCACCTAAGGGTTTTGTGGAATTAACTAAGTAATTAATATTAATTAATTAATTAATTATTATAGACCTTTAATGTTATCTCACTATCCTGCACTACTACAGAATATTAACAATCTCTGATCTATATAACACTTTATTAACTTTAAATTTCTCCCTACTAATGACTTATCCTACAAAAAATGTTGGAGTTGGTAACGATAATATGTCACTAAATAGCTCGTATCTAACAGTATTTTATGATAATTTAATCCGTCGCTAAATTAATGAATTTTGCCTTAGCGTTAGATGTGCTGACGCAACACATACAAGGGGAAGTGCCATGGTGTATGCTATTTGCTGATGACATAGTTCTAATTGACGTGATGCGGGGCGCAGTTAACGCTAGGTTGGAAGTTTGGAGACAGATGCTGGAGTCTAAAGGTTTCAAGTTGAGTAGGTCAAAAATTGAGTACTTGGAGTGCAAGTTCAACGATGGGATGCATGAAGAAGAAGTGAAAGTGAAGAATGATACCCAAGTCATCCCCAAGGAGATAGTTTCAAGTATCTTGGGTCTTTTAAGGCGACGAGGATATTAGCGAGGATGTTACTCATCGTATTGGAGTGGGGTGGATGAGAAGGAGGTTCACCTCGGGGTTTTGTGTGATAAGAATGTGCCACATGGACTTAAGAGCAAGTTCTACAGAGTGGTGGTTAGGCCGACTATGTTGTATGGGGCTGAGTGTTGGCACGTCAAGAAGTCTCATGTCCAGGAGATGAAAGTAGATAAAATGAGGATGTTGAGATGAATGTATGGGCATACCAGGAAGGACAGGATTAGGAATGAAGTTATTAGGAACAAGTTAGGAGTGGCATCAGTGGAAGACAAGTTGCGAGAATCGAGGTTGAGATGGTTCGGGCATGTGAAGAAGAGAGACATAGATGCTCCGGTCAGGAGGTGTGAGGGGTTGTTCATGGCGGGTCTGAGGAAGGGAAGGGGTAGGCCTAAGAAGTATTGGGGAGAGGTAATTAGGCAGGACATGTTGTTGCTTCAGCTTACTGAGTATATGACCTACGATAGGAAGGTGTGGAGGTCGAGGATTAGGGTTGTAGGTAGGGGTGTACAAAGGGAACCGACAAACCGCACCAACCCGATAATCCGAGTCAAACCGAGAAAAAAAACCCGACTATGGTTTGGTGTTGGAAAAAAAAACCCGACCCTAATTGGTTTGGTTCGGTTTTAACTAAAGAAAGTCAAACCGAAACCAAACCAACCCGAC